TATCAAATACGATGTGCAAAACAAGAGAAAATAACTTTCAACTAAAAGTTCAAGCTGATAATCTGAGAGGGGTAAAGGCTAAAAAGGATTCAGTACAAATACATACTTCTACCCAGGAACTCAAACGTAAGAATCAAGAAGAAGCTTGGATTACCAAGAAATTGCAATACAAAAATCATAATCAGGATGAAAGGTAAAAAAAACATACGCCATCATGACTTCTAAGAAAGTGTGTTAAAGACACTATGAATTAAGTAAGGTAAACAATATTCACCAATACATACACCCCTCAAAGAAATTAGTGTATATGCTTAGCAGATAAAATCATGTTTTCCTGAACTATAAGTTCACTGATTAAATTTATGCAGAAACGTAGTGAATAAATAACAGATAAAAACTTACCACAGTTCCATTTACCCTTTGAACGGAAAAAATCCTCATCTTGATTTACACAGGAAGGGTGGTAAGCTTTTGGGCAGCCCCTGCAAGTCAACAGAATCGTACACTTAAATACAACAAAAGTAAATATCTGTTAAAGGGACCATAAGAAAGAAAAAGAAAAAAGCAGCAGTAAAGGCACATAAACTACAAATGGAAGTTTACCTGCGGTCACAAAGGACAAGGTCACCCCCATCAAAGCATACGAAACAAACATCTTCCTCTTTCTTCTTTCCCGTCTTTGTATTTCTCACCCGCTTCCTCTTTCCTCCAACACCCTTATTTTCTTCATCGGCGTCCTCTGCATCTTCATCTCCCGTCTCAGCCATAACATTCTCCTCCTGTGTCACTGTTAGTTCTGTCATTTCCATCTCTTCCTGACTTTCCTTCCCCTCATCTACTTCATGCGTTTCCGCATCAGTCATGTTTTCATCTTTCTCCTCATCCTCGTCTTCCGTCCTTGCCTCTGTTTCTTCTGACATTTCAGCAGCTTTTGTTCCGTCTGCTTTACCCTCAACAGTCTCCTCTTGTGTCTCTGTCATTTCTGTCATTCCCATCTCCTCCTGTCTTTCTTTCTCCTCGTCAATATCAGCTACCGATGAGTCTCCAAGAATTTTCACATCAATCATGTTTTCATCTTTCTCCTGATCCACATCTTCTGACTTTGTCCCTGCGTCTTCTGACACTTCAACAACTTTTGTTCCATCTGCTTTACCCTCAACAGTCTCCTCCTGTGTCTCTGTCATTTCTGATATTCCTACCTCTTCCTGACTTTCCTTCCTTTCTTCAATATCAGTCACCAAGGAGTCTCCATGAGTTTTCACATCAGTCATGTCATCATCCTTTCCCTGATCCTCATCTTCGATCCTTGTCTCTGTTTCTTCCGACACTTCAGCAATTTTTGTTCCCTCCACTTTACTCACAGTCTCCTCCAGTGCCTCTGTCACTCCCATTTCTTCAAGATCTTCCCTCCTGCCCTCAATATCAGCTACCGAGGAGTCTACATGGATTTTCACATCTTCTGCCACATCAGTCATGTCATCCATTTTCTCCTCATCCTCATGTCTGATCACTGTCTCTATTTTTTCAGATGCTTCAGCAATCTTTGTTTCTTCTACTTTAGCCAGTTCCTCAGATAGTTTTCGGGTTTCCTCCAAATCAACTGTCTGTTCTGCTTCACCTACACCAGCCATCCCTTCGCCGTCTTTCTCTATCTCATCACCAAAATTAACATTTGTTTCCAATTCTTCTGCAGCCTCTGGTACATGCATGTCCATTGATTTACCAGCTTCTGGATCCTTCTCAACATCTTCTTTGACATCATCCATAACAGTTTCCTTACTTGCAGACGATTCACCCACTCGAGTCTCATTTTTGTGTGAACCCTCATTAGCCACATAATCCATGTCTTGTGGCTTAGTTTTATTCTCCGACACAGTAATATCATCAGGCTTTTCGTCCTCCTCAGCTTTCTTTACTAACTGATTACCCATAGCGCCTTCTGTGACATTCACGTCTTCTTTCGCATCTCCGTCAGTCAGATCTTTCGCTCCTTCACCACTTTGCAACTCTTTTAAAGGCTCATCCTCTAAAAATTCACTTCCAGAGTTAGGAACTGAATCGCCTAAACCTTTATCCTGAGATGAAATATCAGTAAAACCAGCCACGGTAGCTACATCTTTAACATCGGGAATATCTATGTCAACACTAACTATATCTTCCAAGGAAGCAGCTTGACCTGTCGTGTCCTCTTCCATGACATCAACCTTTTCCTTCTCGGACTCTAACTTACTATCTATCGCCTGACTACTCTTCTCATCGGTCATACCTCCAGAAACTACCTGTTGGCTTTCGTCTCTCAGAGAATCATCTCCGTTTACCTCAGAAGCTGGAAGGTCAAGTGTTGGAGGCTCTGCTTCCATGGAACGTTCTCTGTTTCCCTCTAAATTCGAAACCTTTTCACTAACTAAGGGAAAATCAGCTGCGCGTTCCTCTCCTCCTCCTTCACCAATCACCGGAGACGATTCCAGAGGAACCACCTCCACCGCAGAGCTACCACCGCCAACCAAATCCATCTCCTGAGCAACGAAAGTCGAACTTTCTTCTCCTCCTCCCTCCGTGACCACCGCCGGAGACGGTTCTGCGGAAACGGCTTCAACCACATCGACGGAATTCAAAACCGCACCTTCTCCTTCGCCAAGCGGAGCCACGTGCTCTAACGCATCGATTCCTTCGCATCCTCCGTCTCCTTCCACGGTAGGAACGGACGAATCACCGCACGCTCGATTGGAATCGTTGGAAGCGTGCATACATTCAGGGTCATCTTGTATCGACTCAACGGAAGCTTTCGCCGAGTCGGAATCCATAAGGGAATAAATTAGGGATCAGCTTCGTGTTCTTCGCCGGTTACAACAGTCGTCCATAAATCACAAGGACGCTACAAATTAATTGAGAAGAAGGAAAAAGATCTGAAAGCTTTTTTAGGGTTTTCAAGGGTGAGGATGATTTTGTATTTTTATTTTACAAGAACATTTTCAGGTGGAGCAGTGACATTTGATACATTATATAAATATTAATTTCTAGGACGCATTGAACTTTTAACGAGGTTGGTTGGTTTAGACTGTTCGGTTGATGTCTACAATGTCTTAGGTTCGAACGTTTTTTCTTCTTTTCTTCAAACTTTATTTTTGTTTGTTCTACGGCAAAAGTGGTTATCATACATTTTTTTTGTAAGATGGACTAAAAAGCCGAATCAAACCAAACCAAATCGATCCAAGCCGATCCAAACCCTACTAAAGTAATTATTCAATTAATATGTTTATCAATCCACATAGTTTGGTTTGCTTCAAACTGAAAATCTAAGTGTTTATTTAATCAGATTAACTAAATTTTATTGAACTTAAAATATTTAACTATTCAATTTAATAATTTAATAATTTTAGTTCTAAATAAAATGTTGAAAAAATAATTAATAGTGAAATAAATAAAATAATATGAATTTTATACTTTATCATCAAAATTGAAAAACTAATAATAATATTTATATTGAAGATAATAATACAAATTATTGCATTACCTTTCTACAATTTTTATTGTGATGTTTGAATATGAAGAATTATTAATTTAGTGTGAAATAATGATTTGTTTTATGTTTTAGAATTATAATTTTGTAACCACGTTATAACAAAATTAAAAACCAACTCGATTAAACTGAACCAGCACAAACAAAACTGAATTAAACTGAATGAATTAAATCTTTTTAGACGACACAATTTTTTTATTGTGAATGGCATTCCGATTTTGGATTGGTTTGGCTTGAATATTTAGAGAATTGCATATATGGGTTAAAATTACTAAACATATTAAAATATTATTACAGCTATATTATGTAGTAAGTTTCAGATATATTTTTGGGTATCCATAATCTTTTGATTTGGTTCGAAATCAAATCTAGTTATTCAGATATAGGAAATTAGTTGCTCGGATTATTTCTGTCAGATCGGTTCTAGTTCGATATCTTAAGGACCGAATCCGGTTGGATCTTTGAATGTTTTGCCCATACCTATTTTAAAAAACAAAAAGATGCGTTTAAACCGGAAACATGGCCGATTTTGAAAATTTGAGAGCCATAGACAATTTAGTATAGGTTTCAGAATATTTTTTTTAAAAGATTTGGGGATCTTTTTCTATAAGTTGCAGACCTATATCAATATAAAACTTTTCAAAATTTTAAAGATTATAGGTAAATATTTTTTCAGGTTTGTCCTCGCTAGAAAACACAGTGAATTTCAAAGTTTTTTCAACGTTCAAAGTTGTAAATGAGGTTGATAAAAAAAAAGTTGATAAATGAGATAATAAAGGATGTTGGAAACAGATAAAGTACCCGAAAATAAATGGAAAACAAAATGCGTGACACCGAGCCCAAAAAGGTGGATAAACAAAAAATTTGTGTGACACCATGGGGCTTGAAATCAAACAGATAACTAAAAGCATTAAAAGTTGCATTTGAGATTGTAAAGAGTGTTGTCAGACTGTCAGTAGTGGTAGTTTAACCAATTGGCAACCCCTTTTCGAGCTTGAACGGATCGTTTTGGTTAACAATGCTCTGATTTTTTAGCTCATGTTTCCATGGTTGTGTTTGGTTGATCATTTTAACAAATTCAGTTAAAATTTTGTTTTCTACATGTAAGTCATCTTCAAAAGCTTATTTTCATCACTTTGGTTTAACCACCTCTGTTATTTCATGTTTTGTTAGTTTAAAAAGCTATCTACATCTTGAAATCAAAATGAGAAGACACCAACGATGAATATCATAACAGTCGAGATGGGTTCAGAAGCAAACTTCTTTACAAACAAAATATCATCAAAGACAAATGCGGACGCAATACAAGAATACAAAACATACCAAAGATCCATTATTACCGAACCAAACAATAACAACATCCAACACTCACCAAAAGGAAGGAGAGATGGCAGCCCCAATATAAAGTTCCAAGAATCCACAAAAATAATCCGTTCTCAATGCTACATTCCTCGAACTTCGACATTTTTGTTGTTGTTTCTCATTCTGCTCTGGACTGACCAGCTCGAGAAGATAATATGATGCCTACAATGAGACCGTAGAGAGCAAGTGCTTCCGCAAAGATAAGTATAAGAATCATCCCCACAAAAAGCTTAGGCTGCTAAGCATTTGCCCTGAGCCAAAACCAAACAAGTCAATTTCCATTCACCGAAATTCAATAAATGTAGTTGCAAAGAGGAACAAAACAAACCTGACTCCAGCATCACCCACGATTCCAATGGCCATACCAGCAGAAGACCAACAAGACCACAAGCAAGACCAGAGGAGAGGTGTGTGTATCCATCAAAGAGGTAGTAAGACTTAGCCTTTGGGTTGATACCAGTACTGATGATAACAGCAATAATGAGTCCATAAATACCCAACACACCAGCCATAACCACAGGTAAAATAGACTTCATCACCAACTCAGGTCTCATCACTCCCATTGAAGCCACACCAACACCACTCTTTGCAGTCCCGTAAGCAGCTCCCATACCTAAACCAAAACCCAATAAAAATTCAAGTTACTGCCTAGAAAACGACCAATACCAAAAAGATCAGACCCTGATACATATATGACTAAGCTTAGCTACACATTATATAAACGATGATACAGTAGCATAGTTGAAACAAATGATAATGGGAGATATGATTCATAACTTATATCATGTGGATGCATATCAAATTAATTAAAAGACACAACAAACAACAGACTCTGATCTACAATTAAAGTCAAAACAAGATGAAGTAACTTCATTGATGTTACATAATATACATACATGATGGTGCATAAAAGATCACACCAACCAAATCATACTAATCATTTAGGTCTCTCTAAGATGATCTAATCAATAAAACCAGAAAACAAGAACCACGTTCAGATCAAGTGAAGAAAAGGAGGAATGGTTACAGGAGAAGACGAGGGCGGCGGCAGCGCCAAGGAAGCCGAAGAAGGGAGCAGTTTCATCGCCGAAGAAGGGAGCAGTTTCATCGCCGATGAAGGTAGACATCTTCTCTTCTTCTCGGATCAAGAGAGATTTGGATTTTCGAGATGAGTGCGAGGAAGACAAGGACGAGTCTGATATTTGTATTGTAAATAATGTTTAATACGTTGTGGTGAGACTTTGAGCCGGATCATAAACCGTGACTTGGGACGGGTTATTAACCGTGATTTTGGGTCGGTTATGTTTTCATTTTTGAGTGTCTGCGAATCTCTCAATTTATCGCATCTGTCTCGTTTTATAAAAAAGCGTTTGGACATTAACCATTCTTTTTCACATTAATTCAGCATGTGCTTTAACAAATACTAAGAAGTAACCCGCATCATGCCCGAAGTGAAATAGTTGATTAGATTATTTATTTCATATTGTATTGAGGAATTTGTCGTATAGATTTTTCTGGGGATATTGATTGAGATATCCGTTCGGATTTAGATGATTTATTCAGATTTCAAATTTTTAGAGTTAAAAATTAAATCTGATTTGAATTTTTATAAACTTCAGTTTGAATTTGGTTTGGATTTGGTTCGAATCGTTGCAGGTTCGATTCAGATTCGAATTTGGATATCCATTTTAATTATGTATTTTCTAAAAAAAAAAAAAAACCTAAGTCCTCAAAGTAAAATAATACAAAACATAAAAAATTAAGATTGTATGACCAAATACTTAGATTTACATACAAATTACTTCAATTTAAATATTAGGATGGAGAACAAATAGATATTTTCAGTATTTTGAATTTTGGTTATTTTTAGATATATACTTGTGACTATTAAATTATTCATATTTTTGTAAAAGTAAAAATAATTAATGTATTTAAATATATAATAATGATTTAGATATTTTTGGTATCCAGAATATTTTAGTTTTGATCAGATTCGGGTCTAGTTCTAAAATTTTAGGTTCATCTAAGTATTTAGTCAATTTTAGTTTGGGTCTTCTGTTATTTTCAAATCAAGTTCGGTTAGATTTTGTAAGTCAATATATTTATCCAAACTTATTTTCTTCTACTAATATTAAACAAAATAAAATCAATGTAAAACAAATTTTTGGATTTACATACATAATTATTGGGCTATACTTTAAGAACACTGATAAAAATTGTTGGGCCTCGTATCAATATTGTTAGGCATGTTTCAAAATTGATATAGTCTATAACCAATAACATATATTTTCTTATAATTTTGTAGTAAATATAATAAAAATATGATACAATCGAGTGAAAGCGGATGTAATTCTTAGTTTTCTTAGTTTTCTTAATTTGTTGCTTTCGTGTATGTAAACCTTAGCTATAGTCAAATTTGGCAAATACAAAACTTTCAATTTCAAAAACATTTTCATCTCAATATTTTAGTTGATACAAATTTTAATGATTTTGATTTTTTTTCAACAATGATATTATTCAGTAGTTACACAAATAAAACTGTAATTCACTAATACAAAGATTACAAATGTAAGAATTAAAAATAAATTAATTAAAAATATTATTGTATAAATACATTAAATTATGAGTTACGAAAATTAGTGTATAAACACATTAATTATTAGATGGTTGTGAAGATGAGACGTCAGTATTATAAAGTTCAAATGGTTCTAGGACTGTCACGTGTCAATTATAGTGTAAACACATTTATTACAAGACCCGGTTAGACAGCAATCCACTTATCCAGGAGGGCTTTACCTGGACTGAAGACAAGACCCAACACCTAGTACCGCATTTGGTGACAAGAGTCGGCAGTTCCCCTCCGCCTGGCATCGAACCCGTGAATATGACAATTGGCTCACAGAGCTCTTACCAAACAAGCTACCTCGTCCCGTCTCATCATTTATTACAATGTTTCTACTTCGATTTTAAGAGATAGACTCCCTCCGTCTATGTATATCTTAAAATAATTTAAATAGATAATGAATTGTAAAGAACTTCTCTACGAAGCACATTCATTACGTGGAGTTTCCTCTCATAATTTCAAAAAAAAAAAGTTCATTGAAATAAGAATACATGCAAATAGCATGAGATCAGAATAATAAAAAGAAACACTTGTTTCTAATCCAAGCTAACATTCTACCAACACACAAGTTGATCATACGCCCCATACGCAAGAGGAAGAAAACCAACTTGATAAGACAAAATGAAACGAGCTACATAACACGGGTAACATATATAAAACGAAGATGTTGGTGTAATTTTTTCTTTATTTCGTTTGTCCTTGCAAGCTTGAGAATTTGAAGAGAGATTAACATTTAATGTAAGCCAAATCATAAGTAGTACGTAGACGAAAGAGCACACAAAAAAATGGCAAATGAGAGAGCAGAGGAATACGGCCAAGGGAAGATGACCGGGTTCGTCACCATAACTTGCCTTGTTGCAGCCATTGGTGGATGCATGTTTGGATATGACGTCGGAGTCGCAGGTACTATACTAAAAAAAATAGTGCTCAAGAGTCTTAAACGAGTCAAGTAGGCATGGGCGTTGAAGAACAAGTTTTTGTTTTTTTTTCTGCTTTTTTACGAATTAATTTCTTAGGCCACATTCGGGTTTATAAATATTAAGCTCCATTTTATCTCTATATAAAATTTATTCTGGATCTGAATTCATTTCGAGTCAGTTAATAATAATTTGGATTCGGGTACTTTTAGATAATATATCGAAATAAAAAATGAAATTAAATATCTAAGATACTTAGTTGCATTTCAAATACTCATTTTGGATACTAATTTGAATCTCATGATATAGTTTTTTAGATATTTTTGAGGTTTTTCAGTTATTTCATTGTACTCATTCACGTTCAGTTAGGTGATGATTGTTTGAATTAGTTTTTGGTTTTAGTTTTTGGTTTTTAGATTTTGGTTTTAGATTTTAGTTTTTGGTTTTTAATTTTTAAGTTTTCGGTTTTATTTTTCAACTTTTGGTTTTAATTTTTAGTTTTTAGATTTAGATTTTTGATTTTTGGTTTTTCTGTAGTTTTTAGTTTTTCCAAAAATAATCAATGCATTATTTCAAATAAAAACACAAAACAAAATAAAAAATTAGAAATTTCCTTTCAATTTATAAAAATATAACGATGGTTAGTTAAAATAAAAATATAGGAATATGTTTTTAAATTAATTTACTTTAAAGTGTCATACTAAAATATAAATCAGCAAAGATCTATAAATTATAAAAAATTAAAATACCTACAATTTTAAAATAACTATAAAATCTCTTATATATCATATATTTATTTTAACACTTGAATGGCTATTTTCAAAAAAATTATAATATTAATTATTTTTATGTTTTTTTAAAATTTTTAATGTGTCTAATAATTCTTAAAATTATTCAAGAAAATTATTTAATAATTTTATGTATAGGTATTAATAACTAATGGTGAACAATTAATATATATATATATATATATATATATATATATATATCAAAATTTTGTTTATAAATTTATCAATATATATAAATTTACAGATATAACACACAAATAAATTATTTTACATTTTTGTTTAAATGATATCTTATCTACAAAAACTTATATGAAAAAATTCTCTTTATGCAATACTATATATTTACTTATTAATTAAATAAACATAGTAGTTGACTATTTTCTATTAAAAAAAAGAAATTAAATTCGTTTTTTAGTAAAAGCTCACAAAAGTTGGTTTTCTATTTTTCTTCATAAATTGGTTAAAATTTTGAAAAACTAGTTTCCTTAAAATTTAGAGAATCCATTTTTAAAAAATCTTGATTGGCAAATCAAATGGTTTTTACAAAAACAAAAACTAAAAAACAAAACTTGATTGGATAAAAAATGGTTTTTACAAAAACAAAAAACAAAAACAATCATCACCTAGTAATACTTTGAGTTCACATATTTCATACCATTCAACAAAATCCAGTTGAGTATTTTTATAAGTAAGCTCAGATATAGATTTTGATATTTTTGGTTCGTGTTCGATTCAGATACAGTTTTTTTTTACCCAGGTATCAAATTTTGAGCCCCACCAGATTTTATACCACCCTGATAAATCACCTACAATATCCATTTGGCTATCTCAGGTTTTTCGGTTTGGTTCTTGGTTTGGATCTTGAGTCACTCAAGGGCTTTGGTTTTACAGGTGGTGTCACATCAACGGATGACTTCCTCAGAGAGTTCTTCTCCAACGTGTATGCCAAGAGGAGAAACGCTCATGAAAATAACTATTGCAAGTTCAACGATCAAGGACTTGCTGCATTCAACTCATCACTCTACATTGCTGGTTTGGTTGCCACTCTTGTGGCCTCACCAATCACTAGAAAATATGGACGACGTGTTAGCATCATATGCGCTGGGATCTTCTTCCTAGTTGGAGCTGCTATAAATGCTGGTTCGATTAACCTCCCCATGCTTCTTCTCGGACGGATCATGCTCGGCTTTGGCGTTGGATTTGAATCTCAGGTTATGTGAGAGAATCATGTGTGTAATGAAAACACACAGAATCTTCATACCTAACTAGACAACATCTCTTTCTTTTACAGGCAGTTCCTGTTTACTTGTCAGAGGTGTCACCAGCTCATATGAGAGGTGCTCTCAGCGTTTTGTTTCAGTTGGCAACAACTCTTGGCATCTTTTCAGCCAACATGATCAGTTACGTGACGCAGAAGCTTAGTCCTTGGGGCTGGAGGCTTGCTCTTGGTACAGCTGCTTTTCCAGGTCTGCTCATGTCTCTTGGAGGCTATTTCCTTCCCGAGACTCCCAACAGCCTGATCCAAAGAGGGTTGACTGAAAGAGGCCGTCATGTCCTTGAGAAGCTAAGAGGAACAAGAAACGTCAACGCCGAGTTTCAAGATATGATAGAGGCCAGCCTCTTGGCAAACTCTATCAAGCATCCTTTTAGAGACATTTTGCAGAAACGCCACAGACCTCAGCTTGTCATGGCTGTTCTCATGCCTATGTTTCAGATTCTCACCGGTGTAAACTGCATTCTATTCTATGCACCTGTTCTGTTCATTACAATGGGGTTTGGTGAAAACTCTCTGCTCTACTCAGGAGTCCTCTTAGGGTTTGTCCTTGTTCTTTCAACTTTTGTTTCTATCGGTTTAGTGGACAAGTTAGGAAGAAGACCACTTCTCTTAAGCGGCGGAATACAAATGATCACCTGTCAGGTAAGAAGTCTTTTACTTACCATACAATCATCACCTGTTAGGTAATGCAACTCATGTTTGGAAAACAGATCATAGTCTCAGTGATCTTAGGACTGAAACTTGGAGACAACCAAGAGCTATCAAAGGGATACTCCATCATGTTGGTCATCTTCTTTTCACTCTTTGTTCTCGGATATGGATGGTCATGGGGTCCTCTTGGCTACACCGTGCCGAGTGAGATATTTCCCTTGGCCATCCGTTCTGCAGGGCAGAGTATTACCGTTGCTGTCAATCTTCTCTTCACCTTCATCGTGGCTCAGGCTTTTCTTTATCTCCTATGTGCACTCAAGTTTGGTATTTTTCTTTTATTTGCTTGTTGCGTTTCTGTGATGACCATCTTTGTCTACTTTTTGTTGCCTGAGACCAAAGGACTGCCAATTGAAGATATGTCACTCATATGGACCAAACATTGGTTCTGGAAGAAAATGTTGCCTGAAAACTAGCATGAACAAAGCACTTTGCTGCAAAACTAGCTAAGCAACAGTAAGGAAAACCATTTCCATCTAACCTAATAATTGATTATGTCCAAGTGTTTTCAAATTCATTACAGTTTCTGCTGGATTACTAATATCATAACCTGTTCATATTAATCCTTTATATATTTTTCATCATTGTTCTAAAAGTATTTCTTTTCACAACTGATAGTTTGTATTTGGTAAGAGTTCTACAAGTGGTTTCTTTATATAATTTTACCATTTATCTACATAACCCATTCATCAACATGTCAACGTGCAATATAAACCCATTTGATTATCTAATCATACTCATTTGTATTTTGTTCATCTAACAGCATTTGCATCAACATTAAACTACCGTACAACCTTTGATTAAGTTATGCTCCATCTTTTAAACCATTTAGTAAACATAAGGGAAAATGGCATTCCGGTTAGCCGGATAGTTCTCAAACTTCCGGAGATACCACCGGTGAGTTTCTCCAGCTGCTATAGTCAGATTCGCAACCTACAAAGAATAGAACATTAATACAATTTCTATGAACCCAAACAAAGCATATCATTAGTAATCTCGACAATAAGAAAGTGCACCATACCACGAAACCAAAGAGTAACCAGATAGTTACATCTGTTCCTCCACTTGCAATCAGCAAACCAGCATATAAAACCTACATCACAAAGCACCATATACCATTTAATGAAGACAAGAAAAGAAAGAACATGTAGATGTCTACTAGGGGAGGAGTTATCATTACGATTTCTGCCAAGTAATGTGGACTAGAGACGATCTCAAACCAATCTCCATGTGGTATTTTGTACTCTTTCGCTTGGCTAGGAGTTTCTCGAAGCGATCCCTGCATTAACATTTTTGCATCTTCAAACACATACAAACAACGAGACCAAAATGTTAAAGAAACTTACAAGAATAGCGTGACAGCGTCGTTGATGTAACCATCCCCACAAAAAAATGGCCCCACCAATCAACTGGTACCATCCAAGATTCATCAAAGGGGTTAAAGACGATAACAAATCAAACTCAGTTGCTGAGGCTCCTTTAGCAATGAACTCAGCCACCAGCTGTGGAGCTATATTGACGCAGAGTGATAAAGGCGCTGCTGTATAGAAACTAAAAAGCTCAAATTAAAACCCAATCAAATTGAAAACCATAAGACATAGTTTTTTTTTTATTGAGAGACTTACAACAGTCCAGTGAGATAGCCAAGAATGTTCATCCGAGCAGAAGGGCTGTACTTGAAGACATAGAATGACTCTACAAGGCGTCTTAGAACTTGGATCTCCATGAGGAGAAGTAGAAACACTGCTCGCCACACTTTAAACCGATGGAACTCGTCAGAGGATAAAAGGGTCATTTTGAAAGCATAGATCCACGTGGTAGCGAGCAGAAGAGTGGTCCAGGCCACACCGAGGACATAGAAGTGAGCAAAGTATCTCTGAGGAAGTGTCCACTTCTGCATTGTTTTCAAACAAGAAAACTGTTGAAACAGAACAGTTGTGAAACTAATACTTGAGATCCGAACTGAAATAGCATTGGTTTTCAATCACATCAAAAGAATTATCAATCGGATTTCGTAAGAAAGGTGGTAGGGATTGCAAGAACAGACCTGAGAAGAGGAGGGGTGGAGAATCTTGCCTCTCCGGGCGAAACCAAGAACGAGTTGGTGAAAAGATGTGAGCTTTGAATTGGGTATCGAAGCGATCACCACAGGAAGTATGGCACCGATCCAAGCGGCTCTAACCAACCAAACAGCCCCTACTTCCATTCTGTTTTATTCTTCTTTGTTAGGACGAGGGAGAAACAGTTGTGAGTTCAATGTATGGATCAATTTCACATCTATTTCTCATCCCTAGTTTCTCCTGACCTTAATCAATCTGTATGGACCTCTTGTGTGTGAATTTACCTATATAACATTAATGAAGTTATAAAATAAAAACTAAAACAAAATATGTGATAGATGTCGTTTTGTTTTTCTCACCTAGGCAATGGGGTTCGTCGTCTCCATATCGTAGCTTCTCCCCGTCTTCAACTTCGCCGACAATACGCGGAGTCAATCTCTACGGTTCACCCATCCATTGAGGAGGATTTTTGTTTAGTTTTGAACACTAGGGAGGATGTGTTAAAAAAAAAAAAAATACTAGGGAGGATTTAATTTAAGAGTTTAGGTTTTGATAAAAAAAGAATTATGAAATATGAGTATAGGAGATTTTAATAGGTATAGTAGATTGAGTGATGAGGAGGATGGGCATTGGAGGTGATGTCCCGTCTACCTGGTTGATAAAGTTCTTTATCCACTGTGGTTTCTTCTCTCTAGGGATGTTAGGTATAAGGATAGGACTTAGCCCTCTTTAGTTTAATATAAGCCCAACTCTATTTTAACCCAATTCTATTTTAATTAAGAGTTAGGACTGATACTTAGGATAGCCCATTATTTTTTCATGTTTTTAATGATACTTTGTGTATCAAATTTAATCAAATTAAAAACTCAAATGTGATTCTTATAAATAGAAAAATGCATATTTTATTCATTTTTGTGTTCAAATGCTAAATATGAAATTGAAAACTCAAAATTCCAAGTACTATGCCATGAAAAGATATTTGAGATCAAAGTATGGTCGATCAAAGTAAGGCATTGGTTGTGTCTTTGGGATCATCAATCCTTTCTTCAGCCTTTGTAACTCTTCTTCGTCTGCTATCTTTTGTTGTCCTTCTCTTTGAGCAAAGGTACCATGCCCTTCTTATAAACGAGATGGTAACTAAAACTTCAGTAAACAAAGCCCATCCAAGTCTTATCGTTCTCCTCCAAAGTCTAGTTACTCTCCTCCAAGCTCTACTTTGCAACAGAGTGAGAAATTCATGAGAAAACTGAAGAAAAACTGAGACATAAGTCACAGAAGCACATCAAGCAAACTGAGCTAATGACATAACACACGCAAGCTGTTACTCTTAACCTATTGTCTCTCTATACTCACAATTTCATACTCTCAACCTCATACTAATACAACTAGCTCTTAGACTCAACACACAGCTACTCAGTTCCACTGGTAATATGTTCAAAATCAAATCCAAAATCATAAAATTCACAGCTGACCCAATACAAATCATTAGTTGTACCATACACAAAATATTAATTCATTACGTATACCACTTATTTATGTGTCCATACTATGTTTATCATATTCTCGAATCATAAAATTTGTAAACGAACACTCAATGTATCTTTTTCCAAAATAGTGTGGTTAACCAAGTTAACAACCATTATATACCTTATACTTTTAAATGTTGTTTACTAGATTAGCCACATTATTTTAGAAAAATATACATCAAACATATTTTACAAAATTTATGATTTCAGACTATGTTAAACAACATATGGACACGTAAACAAGTGATACAACTAATGCAAATGTATTTTTTATATAGTACAACTAAGATTTTCAGTTTTACTACCAATGTACAACTACATTAAACTTAGTATAACTCAAAAACTCGTATAAATATGTATTATTGACGACGTTAGTTGTACTGATTATACCATTTATACCTACTACTTCAATTAGTTTAATAATCTGAAATGCTATATTGCATTAAATCAAATATTTTGTTTAGTTTGATAATTTAACTTTCGAATTTTTTTAGTTTAGGTTAGTATCAACAAAGTTTAATATGATGTTATTATAAGTTTAATAACATACACCGAATCGATAACTAAATGCATGGCCCATTAAAACTCTTGATTTTTCTATTCGAATCAAAACAACGAATCGATAACTAAATTATATATATATATATATATATATATATATATATATATATATATATATTTATTCTATATGGATAAATCTTTGAAAAATATTCATAAATTTAGATTCAATTCGTTATCCATTTTGATTTGGACCAAAAAAAATCTGGATATTCATAACTCTACGAAGTAAATCAAATACTAATATACAATATCTGAAAAGAAAGCAAATCATACCAATATTTTTATGAACGGATATCCAATTTGTTCCGTTATATGCATAGATATACATATATGTAAACAATTATATATATATGCTATATATATTATAGTTTATATAAGTTTTACAATATTTTATGTATTAAATTCATTCTATTAGGTATTAGAATTTAAAAAAAATTAAATATTTTATCTTGTAAGAAAATATTATTATTAGATTTTTTCTTTTATTTTATTTTTTAATTTTATTTACGGATCAGCTCGGATATTCTTTAAAAATCCAAAAAATATCGGATTTCTGAATCACAGAATATCGAGGTGGCTAAAGATTGAATTGAAACGAATGCCTCCAAATACTCGGATATTCGATCCCTGCCCACCCATATTTACGGATACAATTTTATTTTCTTTATATGAAAAAAATCACTAATGTCTAGGTCTCTGTTATTTTTAATTAATTTTATTTAAATGTTTTTATATTTCATGTGTTATTTTGAACAAAAATATTATTTAATATTAATTAACAATATCTTTATATATTTATCAACCATTTTATATACTTTTACATACATATACATGTGCACCTTGATGTGAGCACCTTATAACTGAGTATTCACCACAACTGGAGTATCTAATTTTTTTAAAGTTGAAATATTATTTTTCTTAATGCTTCTTTTACTACTGACAAAATTGTAGTGAAATGATTTGTCTTAATAATTTTATTTTTTCTTTAACTATTATCCTTTTAGAAAATATAATATGAAACCATTAGTTCGACATCACGAATATCTAAAATTTATAACATGAAAACAAACAAATAATACTAATTTTTGGTTATCACCAAAAAAAACAAAAACATTTAAAATTAACTGAAAAAAACAAAATAAATATTGATTTAAAATGATAATTATATTTTAGGAGATTAAAAGAAAAAAAAAACCTAAAACCGAACATCTATTCAGATTAAACAGATTTAATATCTCTTTACAAAAAATAATCAAACTAATAGATTATTACCTAGTAGAATACTATTGGAGTAAAACACAATTATATTATAGTTACTCTATTCTGAAGGGAAAAATAGAGTGAGCCAGTAGAGATGGTCTTGATGTTATACATAATATTATATTTTAAGGAGAATTTAAACACAGTATTATGGAAACCAACTAATCATAACATATTACAAGTGTAACCACACAAGGAATAATAGTTATAGTGGCTAGGGTTTACAAATACTATTGATAGATTTGGTGGCTAAGGTTTTGGAGTAAAACCTACTCTTCAAAGTCGACGTTTTGTGGTTGTGGATGCCTCTGTGGGTGGTCTCGATGAATCATGTGATGGACGTGTGGTCAGGTTTCGGACATGCCAACTTTGGTACAGTCTCGTTCAGATTTGTCCACCACTGTTGTCCACTCGAGTTGGAAGCTTTGTTTCTCCTATCAAATGTACAACTAGTATAACTAAGAAAATTGTACAATTAGTTCAAATCTACAATTAGTACAACTATACAATTGGTACAACTAGTACAACCGTACAACTGGTATAACTAAACAACTAGTACAGCTGGTATAACTAAAATATTAATTTTAAACATTTAAAAAATCAAATGGATTTGGGCCGGATTTTAGATATATGGGTTTGGGTCCGGATATAGCTGGTTGGGTTGGTAAATAATATAAAGTTTTTAGTTTTTTAGACTTTGCTCATTTTTCATATTAAATATAATTAAAAAAAAAATTCAAATTAGGAGTGGTCCAAATTAGATTTTTGTAAACCCTTGAGGTTTATTATAGAATTTGATCCAGTTTCTCCTTAGTGTGAATCAGGCCATCCATATTTCATATTATTGTGGGCATGTGGCCTATATGAGCACGTGGCCTTGTATTTTATTGGAGTCATTTGGTTAGAGGATTCATGGTTTGGACCTGATGGCAAGAGTAAATCCGAAGAAGTCGACATATCCTATTCATGGTAGCACACCCCCCGTAAGATTCCTATTCATGGTAGAACGCCTATGAAGAAGTCTGTTTTATTTTATCCTAACAATACGAGCCCAACTTGAAACCTTATAGAGACAAGGAACTGAGATTAATTTCACTAGAAAACAACAATTTTCATAAAAGTAGAGTACCTAGTTCTCTGAGAAGAAAATTTCATAACTACAAGGAGGACACATCATATATTTTGAACCTGTGCCTAACCTATACAACCCTTGGATACTCCACTCGGAGGAGACAATGATATTCCACTTAGAGGAGACAATGCAAACCAACAAACTCTCCCAAGGAATGGAAAGTAACCCAAAGAGACGGTATTGCAAACGCAGATAGCAGTAACCCGATTAGAGATGACAATGATGACTCGGATACCTGTTTTGAGATGCAGAAATCAGTTGTGGCCAATAAATTAGCAGAAACATCTTATTCGAAGAAATCTTCTTCAAGAGGTTCGAGGCAATTCGTGCATTCGTTGAGTGGCTTCTTAGGATTGCTCCTCCAATCAAGAGAAGTGCTTCAGATTCCTAGGCAAATATTCCTTTCACATACATTTTTCGTAATCAAGATGCCGAGGAGTTCTTCTTCCTAATCATGAGAATGTGACTGATCGTGATTCCGAAAATCATGTGGCCCAACACAAACAAATTGTTGGACCAATTAAAACCAATGGTTTTTAATCAAACATGTGAAAGTGAAATGATTTGGGCATGTATATTGAACAGTCCATCTAACAAATAATAATGGAAGATGGGAAAGTTCCACATCGGCTACCAAACATGATTTTGAAGAGTATATATATGTACCCTTGCTAGCATAGTTCAAACGGCCTGGAGAGAGAGAGAGAGGCTCCTACGCGGGCTTGGGCTTGGGCTTGAGCTTAGGCTTGGGTGGAGGGCCTCTGCCTTGAGAAGAAGTTATATTTTTGGACTAAGTTTAGCTAATTTTTTTGGCCCAAAAACAACATGCCTTTCGTTTTAAAATGACAAGTAGTTTGTGTAATAAATTAAAAAATGTCACGCATTTTATCTTCTCAGATA